CCAGTTTGTTTCCAGTCCCACGGAGATATAGGCTAACCGCGAAAATAATGAACAAACAGAGAAAACGTAAAAGTTCCAGAAGCTTGGTGGGGTAGGGCAGGTTTATTTATATATGTATATACACATACATACATACATTGTACCAGTGGCACAAAAGAGCGAGGCTGAAAGATCAATTTTGCAGCGCGCAGTCCATTGTATAAACTTAGCGCGCGTGTGACTGTTTTTCACAGAATATTTTCAAACGCTTTCCAATCCGTTCGGATTGCAAAAGTTCGGCGACGCGACGAATATACAATCCCGAGAACCAATCTGCAAAAACCTCCCAAGTTACGGGAACCTGCTCGGACACAGTGAACTCTCCGTGGCCGTCCGCCTGAGACGACTTAGCACATAGTTTTCAGGCAGGATCGGTTCGAATTTCTCGGCGGGGGTATATACGTGGCTCGCGTGTTGAAATGGAACCGAACCGATCGGCGCACAGTGATTCGAGTGTAGATGGGCGTTCGGGGAAAAAAGTCGCACAGATTTTCTACAATACGTCACAATTCATACATTAATATATTAATAAAAAATTCATACATTCATATATAGCAAATACCAAAAATAACGTTGCATTATGAACATTGTAAGACACAAAAATTCCTAGATCATACATTTCGATTTTTTTATTTCTTCTCCATTGGTCCAATCACTGTGCGACGACGACGAATCAGTCTTCAAGTCAAGAAACTTAATGTTTCCATGCAGAGGACTCGCAACGATCTACACCGTGGCAATAGAATGGGAGAAAGAGAGAAAAAGCCGGATGAAAGACGGAAAAAGGGGGATTCTTCGCGCCTAATGACCCGTGCGGTTATTCCACGTACTCGAACGCTTTCTTAGATCATTTACACGCCGCCGAGTAATAAACTCCTTACAAGTTGGCGAATTCTGAAGTGTTGTGCGGCCTCCGATTTCTCGGTACAGTTTGTGACGCGACAGAGATCTCTTCTTGAACGCCCGTTTGAAGGAGTTGAAGTCGCTCATTCATCGGTCTCGCCAGGGCTTTTCAATCGGCCCCCTGCATCGTGATTCTTCTTTCTTTTTTTCACCACACCACCCCCTCCACCCTTCCCTTCCCGTACTCGGTTTCTCTTCCTCTGGATCTGCACTTCTTCGTTCCCACTAATTCCGACGCGTTCGATTCTGCGACACGGGTTGCACTCCGCTAATGGATAACGGAAACAGGAAATATCTCCTGGTGATTTTCTAACGATCAGACGAACCACGATGTACACATTTAACCCAGGAATACCACCTTGGGGTTAAAAAACCAGACCCTGGATTTTCACCAAATTTTGTTTTAAGGTCAGCACATATTATATCCTTGGAACCTGAGACGAACATCGATTAAATTCCGACCGTGGTACACTCGTGTCTGTATTCATCAAAACCACTGTATCCTACTGGATTTTTCAACTATTTTCTTTTTGGGGGAGGAGGGTTGGTGGGTCGCGGAATGTCGATATTCCATGAAATCCGACAACCGTAGTGTAAATCGTACAGGCGGAAAGTTCGTTCGCCAATGAACACGCGGTGGCGAATCGTTTTGGTAGAGGAAAAAAAAAGGAAAGAAATAAATTCGTCTGATACCGATAAAAAGTAACCCATTGGACGGATGGTATGTTTGCGATCGCGCTGTAAATAATTCACACGGACTCGTGACGTTCCGTTCGTTAGACATATGCGGAATCGTGTCGAAACGAGCCTGCCTGGAGCTTTCCAGACGAGCAAATAAGGAAGCTCACTCTGAATGATGTTTATGAGATCCGACAGCGAATCGTGGTCAGTCGTGGCGCTTCGCAGTCTGTCTGCCCCTGGCACGATCAACACCGATTCGTTCGTCAAAAAGCTTTAATTCCCCTGGTTACGCGGGAAATGGTAATCGAAACTTTTCACGCAAACATCCTTTAACACGGTGAATTTCAATTTTTTTTTGTAAATACTGTATCTGTGGATCGATGAAAATAGGAAAAATGTCTCGCGAACCGCTAAGACAGGAATAAAAGAATTCAATCATATCTATAATATTTAAATTTAATTTTGTAGTCGTTCGGCGACAGTGTCACCTATTTACGTTAAAAAAAATAACGAACGGTGTCTAGAAATAAAGAACCACCCCCCCTCAATCCTCCACGAGAGAGACCATCTGGAATTCGACAGAATCTCGAGCATTTCAAATATCGGTGCTCGATCAACGGAAACGGGAAATCATTAATACCGCCCTGCCAATCTCTCCGAGACTAGAGAAAACGAGGCAGAAAGCGCGCGGAACCGTGGAAACTTTAATCCCATCTTCCCGCTCGTTATTTAAAAGATTCTCCCTACCTCGCTTTAAAAACCTTACGACCCCGCTCTTTCCTGTCTCGAGACCGTGTACGGAAGTACATCTCGTTGCCCTCTCCGCACTACCAAGCGAGGCTTCAAAGAAAAACAGGGGGATGAGAAAAGGGGTTGTCTAGGGATGGTGGTAAACTTGTACCTATTTCAACGGCGTCGATCGCCGCCTAGGCAATTATAGAAGACGGGGGGGGGGGGGGGGGGGGATGGGGCGAGCTACATCCATCTACCAGTCCAGGAAGCGAAGGGCGCGACCGACATCAGCTTCCGGTTCCGTACACATCTAGCGGACGCTATGCTGCTGTTGGCCGCCGGCAAGACGGATTACTGCCTGATCAAACTCGAGGCCGGCAGATTGAAGGTTAGTTTGCTACCCACCACCACAATACTCTTGCCTCTATTATTAGGCTTTCTGTTTCGCGGGCCCTAGCCTTATGTGAGGTCGTTGAACCTCTAACAGGTCGAGTGTACATACACAGTACAATCACGATAATTGCCTGCACTTGGGGCTCTAAAGGCGAGCGGTTCTACGGACGAGTAATTATCGAGAGGCAATAGAATGTTATCCCACCGATGAGGTATAGGAGTAGACTTGTCACCAGAGCTAGCCATAATTTTATTTGAACAAAACATAGTAAAAAGTTGAGTTTTATATTGTTATAAAAGATTGAAGTTTCCACGTTTAAACGATTAAGAGTGACGAAGAATTTTCTTTATCTTTTATTCGTTATTCGATAGTCGTTATTTAGATAACGAATTTGCCCATTTTTGGGTGCCAACTTACGGGACTTGGCGGCCCATTTAATCTGTAGTACTGACAACTTAAAAAGGTCTATGATTTTAGTGACCTCTACGGTATGAGAACAGTGAATTTACGTGATGAAAACGGTGAGTCGTGACATTAGAATGGTAATGGGGCGCTAACACCACAGAAAAGTGGGTCGCGAAAATACGTTCGAGAACACATCATTTTCGGTTTTGCAACAATTCAAGAATATGAGTGGTTCATTCTTAAATTGTTATGACAAATAAAAGCATTTCAATATGAATGCTAAAATGAACAGATGCTTTAACAAACAATGTTTTAGAACAGACTAGTTCATTGTAACATACCCCATTGTACATCCAATTTGCTTGTTTCATTATTACTGTTTGTGTTAATGACTCGACACCTCAATGACGGTATACATACTATAGTAGTATGAATAACAATTTAATATGAATGATAACGAGGCAAATGGGCAACACGCAGGACAATAGATTGTCAATGTTTGCTGTAAGTAGAAACAGCGTGCAGTGGTCAGACGCGCCTAACAATTCCTGTGCAATCCTCCGTAAACGTATCCAATTGAGACTTTCTCGAAGACAACTAGCACCTATACGAAAATCTCATTCTGTGTATGTGAGACAGGAATTCAATGTAACAACTTCTGGTTTTCTGGAAATTTTGCCCCAACTTGGGGTTAAAAGTAACAACGCTAGTGTAAGTTGTACCACAAATACATTAAGTAGAACTGTGCAGAATGGAGAACAAGAAATAATTAAGACCAGTTTCAATTACAAACTATCAACGTAACATCATACTTTTCTCTTTAATTGGCTCGACCCAACATTATTCCACAATCAATCGATAACTCAATATAACATAAACTGTCTTCTTCTAATTAGCACAACATAACAGTATCTTCTTAACGAGGTCAATTAATTATCATAATTAATTATCATCATAATTGCTAATTATCTGTTATCACGAACGCTATCTCTTCTATCTAAAATTTCATCTAGAGGCCCTGTTACTTTCAATCCCTAAGTCTCCAACAATCGTCTTCGTACAAACCAATCCAATGTTCACCGAAACAAACTTCTCTCGAAAATTCCGTTCGTCGATTTATAAATAATTCTGCAAACAGTCGGAGTTCCCCCTCCCCACAATTTTTCGAACGTCTAACGAACTCTCAAAGCCTTCGAAAAGATTAAAGAATCCAGCCTCCAAAAGACCTTAAGCATTGGTGAACGCCGACAAGTGCATATAAATCTTGATCCACCCACGAGTTTCCACAGTCGTGGAGCCGCTGCTCGCGCAGAAATTAGACCTCGCTTTGATACGGTAAAAAGGAGGCCGAGCGAGCGGTGGTTAAAGCACGCGACAACGAGTGCCGTGAAAAAAGTGGTGAACGAAAAAAAAAAGACAGAGAGAGAGAGAGAGAGAGGGAGAGAAAGAAAAGGACGATTTCACACGCGAGCACGTGTAACGACGACGACGACATTCCACCAGGGGGCCAGGAGTTTTATAACTTCGATAAAAACCGTGTCTTGATTTTAACAACGTCACGTCGTTGCGCCCGTTTTATTCGAGCCATTAAAACTCCGCGAGTAAAAGCATCTTATTTATGTGCGCCGCACAGTGACACAGAACACCGATTTAGGAATCCAAAACCTTAATTTCGGTGTAAAAATGGGAATTTCGGAACCTGGTAAGCATATATTTAATGTTCATATTTATTAAAAACATACAAAATACATAAGTAATGTTTTTTAATAATTTTTTTATAAACAAAATAAAAACTTTTTTTTACGGAGTTACCATACCACGGAGTCAATCTTAAGTTCTCTGAAGAGAAATTATTATTAAAAGACATTACTTATTAATTTTATTTTTTTCTTTTAATAAATGTGAACATTAAATACATGCTTACCCAAGTTTGGTTTTAAAATTCCCATTTTTGTATCCAAATTACGCTTCTGAACTCCTAAATAGGCGTTCTGTATCACTGTGCGCCGTTGCTCTTCTCCCCTGATGGTGGGAGAGGAGACTAGGCGTGGAGGAGGAGGGGGAATGATCGATGCGTTTCCATTTTACTAGAGAAAATCGAGTTTATCGGGGGGTGCACCTCGTCGACCGAAAGTAAACGAAAAAAAAACAAAAAATTAACACCGTGTCCCGTTTCTTGTTGTTCTCTATTTGTTTCGTTAAATTAAAAAGACTTGGTCAGAAAATTTATTCGCGTTATAGCGCAACGAGACGCCTCCATCGCTTTCTCAATCCCCCCTTTGATTCCGCTCGAGCCAATCTCGGCGGCATTAAGTTCCCTCGTAAATCACCGATCATCGCGAACGCGGAACAAAAACGTCACAGAACGGGGCAATAATGAGTTTCGGGCGTAGCACAACACGTTTGTTATAAAATGAACGATCCCCGTTGATATTTATCGTCGCAGGGGAACGTTTATTCGAGCTTGAAAAGTTTCGATGTTATTCCCCATTTTAACCCCCACCACCCTTGCCTTGTGATTTTTTTGGTTGGTTATAGTTAAGTGTATGAATTAGTTTATTATTAACCCACTCATTGTATCTGTTTGGTGTATTGTATGAAAATTGTTTTTTCATAAAATCAAGAATTAATAGTCATTTTAAGACTATGTGTTTGCTCGCGATAAATAAAAAACTAGTAGTCACAGTGGCACAGTTTTTCTAATACAGAACTACTAATTCTATTACAATGATTAATCATTACATTTCTAAATTTATTGGATGTCATTTAAAGAAGTCTCGTACCGCCGATTGTCAAGGAAATGTTCCAGATATTGTCATTGAAGCGACAAAGTAGGAGTCTTGTGTAGTGCACAAATGTAGTTAATGAGTTAATAATTAGCCTTGAAAGTTAAACGTGAAAATCAGTAAAATAGTATTTCACTTCGAGTTTCATGTTCGTTGAATACAGTTTAAAATTGTCAGTGCGAGTCTGACTCGCACATCATAAAACAAAGAGTTAATATAGCCTTTGTCTATGTGAAAACGTTCGTTTTATGACCGATCGAAACAAACGATGCAGCATTACACATCGGCGATGGTGCTGGCTGTCGATCGATATTTCACGACGTGCAATTTTCGTTTCAACAAAAAAAATATATAAAAAAACTAAAAAAGAATTACACAACCAACTGGACACACCGTATATGTACCCGTTACCATATCACGTGGGATCACGCGCGCGCGCGCGGCCCCCGAGTATTTTTAATTAAATTAAACATGACGCGTTGATATTCAATTTTCGCGACGCGCAGCGCAAAAAAAAAAGAGCAAAACATTGTGATTCAGTTCGAAGGGGGACCACGGACGATTTTTCATCACGGGCGGAATATACGAACTGTTTGGAAAAAAAAAGTGTGTGTGTATTTCACGTGTATGTGTGTTCATTTGCATTCGACATCGGAGCAGTCTCACGATTGACAGCCATCTCCGCCAAACGTCCCAATGTATGTGTGTAACGCATTCGTTCGTTTAACGCGTGTTTTAAAACCGAATAATGGGCCTGATGTGCAGATTGAATCGAAGCACGCGTTCTTTCGATGCCAATCCCCGTAACTCAAACACACAGAGTAATTAAATTAATGTAATAACATTAATCCAAAAGCAAATCTGTACGTTATGAAAGATGCAGATATTAAAAAATCTAATTTTCATTTGTCAATGAACACAACTTAACTTTTTCGACCGTGAAAGTAGAATTAAACCCCTAAATAACCTGTCTTGTTCCACGGAAATCTGACAGTAACCCGTCGAAATCGTATTCGGTGTGCGTCGTTGGAGAACGAGGAGTGCTTCAATGAACACCACGAATGACTGATATCTCTTTAACCGACTAAACGACGTCGTGACTTATCCGTTGGCTTAAAGTATTGAAACAGCCCGAGATGCACGAATATCCGGGGTGGCGTTCGTTCGTTCAGCAATAAACTCGAGTTCGAGTGTTTAACTGGGGTTTCGTTTACCAACTCCGCGTTCAAGATATCCGATTAGCTATTGTTTAGAGATATTTGGCAGTCGTCTAGCTTATGCAAAGCACTGTTTGTATGTTCCGCGTATGCAGCCATTCACCAAGCAGCAGTAAGCGAAACTGCAAGGTAAACGAACATAGTATTGACATACAGAGTGGACCAACGAAGCTGGGTCAACTTAGATTATTCTACTGCAACCTGTTCGATTGGAAATTTCGTTAATTAATATAACGTAATTCTAGGAGAGCTACAAGATGATTGTACCAAATTTGTTGTCAATCTTTTTCTTCCAGACTTTTCAAGGTCACCTTCAGATTTTTATATGCTCAAATTGCACAATCATTTTTCAACATTGGGTTCTAAATACCAGGTACATACAAGCACGTGTATTTCTTTGTTTTTTATGTAAATCAAAGTACTAATTTAATATTACCAATTTTTTATAATATTACCACAACCATAAATTATTTGATTCTCTATGTAAATCAATTTTGCTACCACTGTGCTGAACCTCATTAAAAAGTCAGCGTTACACCTAGGGACCTAACCTTGTAAGTGTCAAGGAGTCTTTGAACACTCATCA